ATAATGGCTCTGACGTCATTAGAGATGTCGAATGGGTTATATTTGATGAGGTACATTACATCAACGACCCTGAGGTGAGTTGGCATGGTAACCCAAATGAATTTGTCTGATTGTTTGCTACATTGATAACTTACAGAAAATTTCCCCTGTGGCCCCCCATTTCCAATGTTGGGCTCGAAACCCTCACCATACCGAAACATTCCCGCCATCAACATTGTTAACCAACATTGACTGTGGGGGTAGGGGGGGAGGCTTTCAGTAAGCATTAAATTGACTTTGTGATTTTTACAATTTTTCCCAGAGGGGGGTGGTTTGGGAAGAAGTTCTCATTATGTTACCAGATCATGTCGGTATCATACTGTTGTCTGCGACAGTGCCCAACACTTTAGAGTTTGCTGACTGGATTGGGTAAGTGGTATTGAGATATGATAATGATGGCATTGCCATGGTGATCCATTGATGACCTATCAAGTATTTCAAGAATCCACAGAATAGACCTAATCAGCTAACGGCGTTGCTATGTAAGTTGCCACCCAATTCAAATCCTGTGGGAAAAAGAACTTTTGTTTCTAAGAATTCAACTGTGAAATGAAAATACAACGAACAATGAAACTCACTTCCGGGTAGTTTGAAGCCAATTAGGTCTATTGTGGGACTCTTTCATTACTTACATTCTTTTTGCAAGGAAAACCACCTTTGTACATCCATTCTTCAGCTATCATTTCAATCATTTAATTTGCATAAGCAATCCATCCTTTCAACCATCCCCCCAGGGGAGGAACTCCGGGGTAAAAGTACCAGGCATGCTCGTCAGAAATTTTTCAAAAATATCCCGAAAGTCTTGAAATGAAGGGCGTGACTGATTTTTAACCCCTAAGAGATTGCACAACAAATATTTTTTTAAATAAATCAGTTCCAATCATGATAAAAACGACACCCTGAGATTTGCAGAAAAAGCAAATTTCCAGAAACTCCAAATTAAGTTGGCACCCTAAAAGATTCCCAATCACGAATTTTTACCCCTAAGAGATCCGACGAACACCCCCGGTACTTTTACACCGGAGTCCCCACCCCAGGATCCCTCCATCCATCTATTTATTCATTCAAGTCATTTAGATTTCCAATTCTTGTTTTTCAAGGCGGACAAAGCGGAAACGCATCCACGTGATCAGCACCGCAAAGCGCCCAGTCCCTCTCGAGCACTTTCTGTACACAGGCAACAGCAATAAAACAAGCAACGAGCTGTTTCTACTTCTCGATCAAAACAGCACGTTCTTGACACGTGGCTACCAAAAAGCTATGGATGCCATCAAGGAGCGTTCCAGTAAAAGTAAAGAGATGTATGGAGCCAAAGGAGGGAAAAGCTTTGGCAACGTTAAGTCGGTCAGTTTATAAGTGTTTTGGCTTTAATGAAGACTTGTGACCCATGTGGGATACACTGTTGTTTAAGAATTTTACGTACGAGTGCATGCGCAGAAGAACATAGAGTTGATTTTGTTGCCCGAAATATATAGATGTCCGTAATAGAGAGGTGTTCCTAATACAGACAGGGAGCGGAGACGTTGGAGCAATACGTTTTTCTCCCGTACGTCTTCCTAACATCTAAGTCTTGCTCCTCCCTGTTTTATACTAAACCGCGTTTTCCATACAGTGTAAGTGTTGCACGGGTTTAGTTGCCGTATTTTAGTAGTCACTGATGGCTTTGAAAGACACAGTAAAGTTGGTAAAAGCTGAAGAAATTAGACTACGTTTTTAAAGCGCGTGTGTTTCTTTACTATATCATCTTTAGATATCCTATCAAATTACAAAACTTGATGTGATCATTTGTACTAGGGGAGGAGTGGGTTGCTACATGCCTTTTTCTCAGGCTTCACAAGTATAGTATATAGAGAATGAATTTAATATCGTTATTTCGTTGTAGGATCGAAATGTTTGGTTGTCATTGGTTACGATGCTCGAGAAGAAAGAGAAGTTACCTGTTGTTGCGTTTACRTTCTCGAGAAAAAAATGCGACGAAAATGCCGACTCCCTTTCCAACTTGAACYTGACTACGAACTTAGAGAAGAGYCGTGCGCAAGTAYTRCTACARAARTATTTAGCAAARTTGAAAGGAACTGATAGAAATCTGCCACAGGTAGGAGACAGTCTATTCGTCTAAATTCTAACCCTTCTTTCAGCCTCGTTTTCAATTTGCTTTTCTATACCCTGGGTACAAACTTACCCTAGCCCCTCCCCCTCTGCATGTTTCGCTACAGATTGAGTATATCTACCCTTGTTTTCTTCATGCACGAACCGGAGTAAAATCCATTCAAAGTMTTACCTAGTACCAAAGTATATCTTATTATATTTATTATAGTTTTTATATTACTGTACATACATTTCTACATCATATATATTTATATTTTTGTAAATTATTGCGGAAGAGCCCTACGGGAGCAGTAATAAAGTTTATTATTTATTATTTATTTATATTACCTTACCATATGATAGTAACCGTCGTTAACCCTTCATATCATCCAGTATTTCGTTCTTTATTTTGCAGGTGAAGAAAATGGAGGAGCTTCTGAAAAAAGGAATAGGAGTTCACCACAGTGGAGTCTTGCCCATACTGAAAGAGGTAAAATTGTTGAATTGGTGATTTATTTTAAAGGGACACTGTCAATGGCACGCATGCGTGAGTAAACTTGGTTAGACTAGGTTAGTGTTTTCAAGTTTATGACTCCAAGTTGGCGCGACATAAATCAGCTCGTAAACGTTAACAGATCTAGAATATTCCAAAGTGTGTCAAAAGCACCACAAAATGATTTACCTCGAAGGTAATACTTTCAAAGTCCGTTAG